GGATGCGCACTGGTGATGAGTCCCAAATATAGGATGAAACGGCCGTCCAGTGCTTTCTGCATTCTGTTGAGTTTTCTTCTAGACTCGATGAATTACTTAATTATAATTATCGCAAAATCCTCCTAATTTCTATCACTTGTCCCTGAGGACACATGGCATACCCGGTTAAGGAAGTGGAGAACTTGGACCAACTTGTCCATGTAGGAGTTCCTGATCAAAAAAAGCCTGGATATTGCTTTTGAACACACATTTTCCTCTCGATCCTCGGAATATACTCTGCTCTGTTTTGTGTCTTAAGGTAAACAAAGACATTTGTTAGGAAATGTATTAAATCAAATCTAGTGTCTCTGACAAAACTAACCTGACCGTTAGTCTCGAAAAGGACCTCCAATTGGTTGTAGACTGAGGGAGGAATTGACTGGTTAACTTAAAACAAAAAACAAAAAACAAAAACAAACTGCTCTCTATTACTCACCACAGGGAACCATTCCTGCCTCCCATCAGCATGTCTGATGCTCAACTCCAGGCGAGCACCTCTCTGCGACTACTTGGTCTCACACTCCCCGCTGACCTGAGATGGAACAAATACATTGAATCAATAGCTTCATCTACTGCAAGGAAAGTTGGTTCCCTGTGTCGCACCAGAAAGTCTTTCTCACCTGAGTCCATCCTTCAAATCTATAAATCAGCGATTCGCCCTTGCATGGAATACTGCTGCCATATATGGTCTGGTGCCCCCGCTGTTCTTCTTAAGGTCCTCGACAAAATCCAGAGATGGATATGCAATGTGATTGGCCCTGATCTGACATCTCGTCTACAGTCGCTCTCTCACAACCGTGCCCTCGTCTTCCTCTGTCTTTTCTACAAATACTTTCACGGTAACTGCTCCGACGAGCTATTTTAGCTAATTCCCAGACTGCATGAATTTAAACGTGCTACTAGGCTGGCATCTCGGGCCCACCCTTTCACTCTCTGTAACCCCTTGCGTGCTAGTGGCATCCCGCCTTGCTTGGGGTGAAATGCTTAAAAAAAATTTAAAATTTATTTGTTTAAACTTTATTTTTCAAATGAATACTCATATTTGAGTAGATGGTCTGTTTTTATTTATTTTCATCTACCGGCCTGAATATTTGAGAAATCTTGTTAAAAAAATATCCGTCCTCCTAGGGGAAACCGTTATTAGATCCGCCTACACCCAGTGGTGTAACCACGTTTAATGATTCCTTCTTCAAGGTCTTAGGACGACATTTTTAACACGGGGTTAACTGCGATGGTCAATGCTGGTTGTTGGTCGCTGGCACCAACTCTGCCCACGTTGTTTTCTTGATCTCAGAGCAGTGGGGGATCAGTGTAATCCTAGTGCTGGTTCAAACCGTTGCGGATGCTATATTAAGGAAGAAAAATATCTTCATGGCGAAAAAAACAAGAAAAAAAAAACCAAAAAAAAAACCCAAAACAAAACGAAAGATTCATGGGGTTTAATCTTCATCTGGATTATATAGCTCTTGGTACAACAAAAATTAACCTTTCTCGCATCAATCTCTATCTATAGTGACACTATGCCTCGCCTAATAAGTTGGGTTCAAAGTTATTCGGAATCAGGAAATCTGGTGGCAGCTGACATTGATTCCAGAAGTTCTCGATGCAGGTTCTTAGCCCAAAGCCATCTGCTTATATACACTTCGGTCCAACAATTTAACCATCTCATGGTCTCAGTGTCAATATAGTACAATGTTTGGAGTGTTATTCTCAACTATGTTGCCAAATTCACGACATTTCGATCAATGTACGCTCCGGCTTTATTCGGATTTGGAAATTCGATCTGAAACCATTATTTCGTCCACCGGGATAGATTGTTCTAGTTCCAGGTGTCATGCCTCTTCCGGACACCTCTATATCGGTTATTTTCCCTTTAACTCAACTGTTTTGTTTTGTTTTTTGTTTTTTTGTTATTGAACTCTCAACTTTTGGGGTCAAGTCACTGGATTCAACCAACGCTTTTATCCACTGGGTCACGTGTCTTTCTGGAAAACTAAGATGAGGACAACAGTCCGAACAATGTAAATAGTGTAAATAATTACAATATCTCATCTCAGAAATATAGACAGAGTATAAAAATAATATTATGCACTAGCAGTAGAGCCCGGCGTTTCCTGGGGATGTAACAGTAAGAGATAGATTAAGTATCGACCATCATAAAGACTGAAAAATAAAATTGACAAAGATTATTGTTTAAGGTTGACGGACACGCCTGTCTTAATTAGTTTTTTTTGTTTTTGTTTTTTTACGAATTGGTCAAACCCAAACTCAAACAAAAACATTGTTTTCAATCGTTGTGAGTCTACCGATTGAATAGAATTTTATTATAAACAATTGTCTTGTAAATGGAATTTTAGAGCATTCTGAATGTAAAAATAAAAGAAAAAAAAGTGTGCAAGACAATAAGAAACACTACCTGCCAAAAAAAAAAAAGTGAAGTTTTGTTGAAATCGGTTGAAAATGTAGGAAATCCGATCCCATATATAAACGAAACACACACACACACACACACACACACACACACACACACACACACACACACACACACACAACTGGGTTTTATAATAAGTATGATTTATAGGTTCCTGGAACATTTATGTCGCAAAACAATATTGGCGATGTCATAGTTCAGGTAAAAATAAGAACACAAAACAATGAATATAAAACAAACAATGCATATTATTAACAAAAAAAAAAAAAAGAAAAAGAAAAAAAATGAATTACATGTGTACACAAATGTAATGAAAGGAAAGGATCTTGAAACTAGAATGTGACTGTGCCAGAAAGAGTTTAGTTAAGTAAGAGATGTCCGTGACTGAAAATGAAAATGAACATGAACGTGACCCAGTGGGGGACACTTTACGCACGTCCGATTACATCTGTGTGTGTGTGTGTGTGTGTGTGTGTGTGTGTGAGCGAGTGAGTAAGAGAGAGAAAGAGATAGAGAGATGAAATTAAGTATTGGTGGCAACATATGTAAAAAAAAAAAAAAAAAAAAATTTTACCACGATTTTCTAAAAAAAAATTTCAAAAATAATTTCATTCATTTCTGAATACGTCCTGAAAGTTTCATTAAAATCCAACAATTATTTGATTTTTGCAAGAATTTCCAAATTAATGTGTGTTTCATCGGAAAAAGCGCAAAAAAAAAACTTTCATTGGTTGGCCGCTGACGTAAACAAAACAAGATTTTTAACCAAAATTTCCAACGTTCTAGAAAGGATTAAAAAATTTCAAAAAAATAATAAAAAAAACTTTGGTCTTTTCTCTTGATAATAACATCAACATTTTGATGACAACTAAGAATGGAATCTATTTGTTCTGTAAACGTTTATTGTCTACTGACAATGAACAAGACCTGAAAGAGGTAGAAACACAATAGTAAGAATTACATCAAACAGTAATCCTCTGGTAAGAAGAGAGAAGAATTACATGAAACATGGTAATCCTATAACAACATTTTGTTTTTATTGAGTTTGGGGCCTTTTTTATCATGCTATGAGCAGCTATGCTGTTTTTTTTGTTTTGTTTTTGCGAAAACGTGGAGGTACTTATAGGGAATGCTGGAATCAAAACGAATCCAGCGGCAGTTTTGAAGAAAACTCTTGTTAAATTTCCCATGTTGATTTGACTTTTCAGCAATCAGTCTCATATAATTTACTAGCAGCATGGCCCGGCGTTGCCCGTCCTTGATTCAAAAATCGTACGACAGCAATCGCTATCACTTGACTTAAAATATTTTTTGCCCTTTCTTGCCTTTAAAGGAGTGCCCTTTGCCATGCTGATGTTGCTACATGCCTTACTTCTTGCCTATCTCACACTGCGAATTTTTTCTCTATACTAAACATTAAATCTGTTACGAAAAAAGAACTAAACAAAATGAACACAAAACGATCACCTTTAAGAAAGGAATTCGTAACTGGAAAAACCGAATGAAAAAAAGAATGTTAACAACAAATACTTTTTCACACCCAACCCAGTTCTGAGGAATCAGAATCAACGTTGAGTTCAAGCAAACGAATGAGCCAATTGAAGTAAAGTGCCATTCAGGTTTAAATTTTTCCCCACTTGTGACGAATGCAGCTATCGATTTTTTTTTGCATGCTAGCATACTAGTTAACATTCGTGTCAGTCAGCTGTTGGCTCTTACTCTGGCCAGTACAAAATAGCCGCAAACTACATGAAAACTGCCGTAGAAACATGAAAAAAATCGATTATTTCCACTATCAATGGAAGTTGGGAAATGCAAAGTCGGTCTTGGCCTTCCTGCTAACTTGAGCATGTGCATGTAAATTTTGGTGCAAATCCGTCGAAAATTGCGGCTGTGCATTCGTCACACACACACACACACACACACACACACACACACACACACACACACACACACACACACACACCCTGCCTTTTATAGATAGAGATTTTTCCACCCTAAGCTCAATGGAACATGACCATGTCTGTTTTCGAATGCAAAACAACTAAGGTCAATAATTCTGTAAAAAAAGAGAAGGATCAATATGATGAAAAGGATCTCACGTCTGACATGATAAACCATCAATATTTTCGATTCTGACAAATGCCGCGCTTCGAGGAAGCTATAATGAATGCTAATCTACAAAAATTAAAAAAAAGAAATAATTTGTTTTTTACGAGTAGATCAGTCTACCTCAATACTTCGCGTGAAACAAATAATAGCAGATAGCTGGTTAAAAATTCAAATCAATCAGGTTGGAATGAAAAGAAGAGTATACGAAAAATAAATTTCTGGGCGAAAAAAAGGAGAAAAAAGGTTAAAAATAAAAAAAACATAAAAGCAAGGTAAAAGGCGAATTATATGGAAAAACAAACAATAAATGTAAAAATGAGCAAAAAGCAAACGTATGAGAAAGAATTAAAAAAGTTGAGTGGAATTTAATTTTACTCAGAACTTATTTTGCTTGACACCGTTTTCCATGTGCATAAATATGGCGTCTCTAAACAGACTATCTTTCGCTGCTCGCACTTGTGTAAAAAATCCAGGTTCGTTATTGTTTTATATCTATTTTCAGTTAAATTCGCTTCAAATTGTGATCCTTGGACTTTATATTAAATCAAAAATCCTTATTTATTTTCCTGCACTGGTTGTGAAATGTTTTGGCATTGATAACCTTGAAGACGAAACAGAATGAAAAGTCGATTGAAAAACAAACAAGACAAGACAAGTCTTTATTTTGGGTAATTTGCAGTTTAAGCCCCGCACACCAATTGTAATTAAAAAAAAAATTCAGTAAATTTTAATTACAATTGGTGTTCAGGGCTTAAACTGAAAATAACCCTTTTTAAAGTGACTATTAATTTAAATTTGTTCCTTTCCCCTTTAAACGTAACGCTCACCCCTTTTCATTGTGTAACTATATATTCATCGTTGATCTCTCTTTGGATACTTCGGCGTGGTGTAATGGTTAGCAAGCTTATCTTGCTAGATCACTTACTACTGAAAAGTGAGTTCGATCCTCACTGGGTGCCCCATACTTTCGGCCTTGTGCCACATCTAAAGCTACGCTTGGAAAATCGCTACTCATCGTTGGTCTTCCGGCTAATCATGTTGAAACCCCAGTTAAGCAACATCAAGCCTGGTCAGCGTCTCGATGGATGACTGCTTGGGAATGTCGGTGCTGTAAGCTTGATATACGGGTGGTGTGTTAATCGGAGCTGAGTTCCAATTCCTGTTGGTTTCGTTAAACTTACGTGCAGATGCCCTTGGGAAAGGTACCTCTTAACCCCAGCTATAGGTTAATTTGGTAGGACTATTGATAAACCATAGTTATCTCCCAAAAAAGAATTCTTAGAATATAAAAATATTCGTTGCTTAACCGTTATATTCACTCACACACAAATGCAGTTAGAAAAGGTGTGAACTAACCTCTTCTCCAAGCAGCTATAAATTTTAATTGGTAGGATTTGTATTGCTAAACCATTGTTATCTCTCCCTCCAAAAACAACATAATGCCCAGACATTTTGTTTGAATAACCGACATTTCACTTTTATCATGAGTAAGACTGCATTTATTCTATAGTGGAGCCTGCACATAATTTTACCAGAATGTATGTAGTATAGAGAGGTTGTGTAGAGACTCACAAATGGAATTTAAATTTGAGTTACATTGAAATTGGTGAAATTTACAAATAAATTCAGTCATGAAAAGGTTAAGATGTTTAAAATCTTAAAGTCAATTCATACTGAACATGGAAACGTTTTTTTTATTTTCTGTGTAAGTTTGAAGTGTGTCTTTTCAGGTTTAAAAATAAAATCTTAGAAATGTTTATATAACACAGAATATTGTAAAGCATTATACAAAAAATGTACATTTCTCATAAAAATTCATATATATATTTAATTCTAGTTGATAAAATATATATTTTAAAATATATTTGTATATAATTTTTAGCATTTGTTCTGAGGAGTATAAATATGAAATCTGATGATGATAATTTCAATAGGTTTATTGAACATCTGAGCCTGACTAGCATTTTGATGTGAAAGTCATTCAAGAAGATGAGTTTATTGAATTCTTGTTGATTTATTTAATATTCTGGCTTTAGTTATCCTTTTTTGTTTTTTAAATTGTTTCACGAACAAGGCAATGATGCCACTAGAATGTGAAGGGTTACAGAGAGTGAAAGAGAATGTGAAGACTTAAGTGGGGAGGATTGAGGAAAGGACAATAAAGGAACAGGGTTTAAGAAGACAGAAGATGGCGATTGATGTTGCATTTAAATTTTTGAACATTGTAGTTATCAGGAAAGCAAGAAATCATAAGGGATTTCCACAGGTAGGAAGTGTGAGAAAAGAAACTATTGGAATAGAAGTGCCAGTTGCATCTATGTAGATCAACAGTGGGATCCAGTTGCAAATCTAGTATCATGCTTAAATGTGGTCAAGGCGACAGTGAAATGACAAATCAGGATTGATTACATTACACACTCTTCTTTGAATTTTGTTAAGAATCTTGTGATTTACAGCAGGTGTCTCAGACTAGATATGGCGACAGTATTCAATGCATGAACAAATGGTTGACTTATAAATGTGCAAGATAGATTCTGATAGGAGAAATTTTCAGGCACAACACAGCCGTAGACACAGCAATCGAACTATTGAACACTTTTTGGGCAGAACTTTTGCTGACTGGAAAATATGTTAAATTCCTGTAATTTTTTTTTTTTTTTTTTTTTTTTTTTTTTTTTTTTGAGTTGTTTTATAATTTCCCCCTTAAAATCTGTAGACTAATAAAAACTTTCAAATGACAAAATATAATACTTTTTTCTTAAATTGAGCATTCTGGGTATGACGATAAATTACATCCATGTCCTGGGTAAGTTGATAAACTACGTCCAACAGCAAGTTCTCTGATCAGGAGGTTTTGAGGAGCGTGGAACCACCTCTTAATTGCTAGTGTTCCCAGGACCACCCTGACCCGGGGTGGTAGCACCTGTTAGGGTCCCAGCTATGAAAAAATACTTAACACCAAAATGGGGTCAAAACATTATGAAAGTGTAAAAATAGGTTTTAATACCAGCAATAGATTTTTAAAAAAAATTATTACCAGCAATAGATTTTTTAAGAAAAGAATATTACCAGCAATAAAAATCTTGTCGGCATTAAATAACCCATCAAGGTTGGTATGCTGTAAAACAAACCAAAGCAAACCAATCTTAAATTGTCAGACTTAGTACGCAAATTGGTTTTACTTTGATTTTTTTTTTTACAGTTTTACAAATTGTTTGTCAACAGAACAATGTAAATCTTTAAAAAAGAAATACTTTTCTCATAAAAATTCAGTTATAAAATATATAATATATATGAATCTTTGCTATTCACATTCTCAGTGGTATTGGAAGCTTGAACTTCAAGGTTAACAGTTTTCCATGTCAGTTTTTTTGCATACCATTTTTCACTTTTCAATAATTCATTTTAATGAATGCATTCCTCCAGACCAGCAATATTTGATCTTTGCTGGCATATGATATAACTATATGTAATTTTAGTTTGCAAAAATACATTTTTTTAAATATATTTGTACATAATTTTTCCTCTAAAATCTGTAGACTAATAAAAACTTTTCTCTTGTTTTCTGTTAGGATTGGCTTCTGGTTCCTTTTAAAGTTTACTTCAACTCTATACTCCTAACGTCTTCGCTTGACTTCTGAAATTTTATTCCCTAATTAAATCTTGACGTCTTCAAATCTAGAATTAGCTGTCTATCTTTCCTGTTATCTTGCCCTTTCTTATGCTAATACAGCTACACACAGTCATCCTCTACCTTGAGTGGCTCTTGGGACTTGTTTTGGGTAAACATTAGTAAAAAAAAAAAAAAAATGTAATCATTTTCCTTAAATTGAGAAACTTGGTACACAAATTGATTTTGTTTTTTGTTTATTTTATTTTATACAGGTTTGCAAATTGTTTGTCAACAGATCCGATATAAATCATCTGAAAATGGAGATGACCTTTTCACTGACAATGGGTAACATGAAATACATTTTTGAAATTGATTTTAATTCTATTCACTTTGCGACAAAATAGTTTTTGATAAAATTGGCTTTTTGTTAAAAAATAACAAATTTGTGAAAAGATATTTTTTAATAATTTATTTGATTTAACATTTCAATTGTTGTTGTTTTTCTTTTTCCTATCTGTAAAGCTAATTTTTTTTTTTTTTTTGTTAATTATCTTTGCATTGCCATGACATCTTGGTTTCCCATCCCCTTCTCCACAGTTTGCTATTCAGAATAGTCCTTCTCTTTGGCTGCCATACCCTATTTAACACATAGCTGGAGGGAGGAGAGATGCATTCGTGCCTTCCCAATGGCATTAGTGTGAAAGTGAATGCAACAGACTAGGCTGGAATTTGAACTTGTCATACCAGAAAATAAGATGCATTTTTATTTAGATAAAATATACAAAATTGTTTTTAATCCATGTTTTCTTCTTTTTCTTTTGTTGTTATTGCTTTTTATTGCATTTTTAGCTACCCTATTCTATTCAGCTGTTAAATACTTAAAGATTTAGAAGAAAGTCTTTTTATTATCACATATTAATTTTAATTTGTTGTTTCTTCACTGCCATTTTTTCTGACTTTCTTCTGTGCTGTGTTATTGACTATCAAGTTCTAGTAGTAGTAATAATAGCAACACTTTTAAGTTGTTTTAGTATTCCTAAGGTGTCTGAAATTAAGTATTTTCTTTATTCATTTCTTACTTATTTCTTTCATCTTATTATTGTTGTTTTTTTACTGCAATATTTGGGTGGTTTTTACATTCTACAGCCATAAAGTACACTGTCAGATTTTATTATGCAACTCAATTTTTGTAATTATAAAATTGGTATTAAACATTGTTTTCACTATGTACTTATCTTTTTAGGATAAATATACCATGTGAATTTAATTTTCTAATATTGTTTTTATCATAAGATTTTATGATATAACTTGAGGGTTGTTCATCATATTGTAAAGAAATATATATAATAGTATAAAAAAAAACAAATAACATTTTTGGTCTTCTATATAGATACTTGTCACAAAATAAAATCCTTACATTTGATTTCATAGTCCCTCAGAGGTGGAAACATGTCTGCTAAGATAAGGTTTCCTTTTGTTTTTATTCATAATAATATAGTTATTGACATTTTTTTAATTTTAGGTACATAAAGATTGCCATGGGTCATTTCGAAAAATATATTCTGAAAAGGAAAATGAGCTATTAACTGAAGAAAGCATAATGTTGGAAAAACGAAAAAACATAAAAATTGGAAACATTAGCAAGATGAAATGAAAAAACTGGTTTTAAAAATGTCACAAAAAAGATTTGAGAAAAGGAAAGTTAGAAAAATGAAATAAACAGCCAAAAACAAACAATTTTTTTATTTTCTTACTGACATAATTTGGTTAATACCGTATTTATTATGTATATATTGATTTGCATAATGTTGTACAAACAACGGACTTCAAGTGGAACTCATATATACTATCTATTGCAAAAGATGCCAGAAAAATGGTTAGATCTCTGTACTGCTCCAAAAAGTACCAGACTCTTCCTGCCATGCTCTATCTCTACAAGAGACGGATCAGTTCAAAAATGGAGTATCCCTGCCATATCTGGGCCAGAGCAGCCCAAAATTCACTTTCTAGCCTCGACTGAATTCAAAAGTATTTGCACAGACTTGTGGGTGATGAAACATTTTCTACCTTTCAGTCTCACAGATGAAACATTGCTAACCTCTCAGTACTCCACTTGTATTTTCATGGCAGGTGTTTGGGCGAACTACATTCCTTGGTTCTACCATTCCATGTCTTTAGAACTTACTCCTTCCCAAAATGCTCTTAAAACATCACTATTCAGTACCCTTCTATATTGACAGGGACTTTTGCCCTTATGAAAAATGCAAAAATATCAGAAATGAAGATAAAAAGCCATAATAATACTAAAATGATAGTTGAACTCTTCAAAAATGAATCATTGTATTAATCTCTTTTTTTTTTTTTTTTTCTTTTCTTTTTAATGCTGTATCAATCAGCAAACCCTTGGTTGGATTAACAGCTGATGGCAGTACACACGTCTGTTGGCACCCAGAAACATCATTTCCATATGAATTCAGCAAGGTGAGAGCCATTACTTCTTTTTAATGTAAATCTATCATAATTATTAATTTTTTTATTAAGTTTAACTTAGTGCGGCACTAGGTCATAATTATGCTACCAGGTCATCCCATAAAAAATGTCCTAACTCTGATCGTGGTAGATTGAAAGATATTTTTACTATTTTAAAATTCTTAAATGAAGATAATATATGTGTGTTCATTTTTGTATAGTTTTTATTGTCATCTCAATATAATTCAGTTAAGTTACTAATTTGATTCTCTTAAAAAAATGTCTCCTGAGGGTGCATCATACAAATAGTTTGTTCCAAGTTCTGAAAATGCAACAGTTGCTGCAAAAGCTACCAGGGTGATGCTGTTTATGGGATAGATTCTTTAATTGAAGGAATAACCTCTAAAAGATGGAAATGTTGACAGGCTGCTGAGTTTTACAATGATCTGCTATTGTTTGAACTTGATCGAGATGATGCAAGTGTAGTTGAAGAATTAGCATGAAAACCATCATGTGTAAAACAAGAGTGAATGTTTCTTATAATTAATCATAAAAATAGATTATCATCTCCTCAGATTGACACCCAAACATTTTGAAATATTCATATTGGGGTTTCTCATGCAAATGTCAAGCAGTACAGCATGCCATTTCTAAATTTCTGGCAAAGTGAATTGTGTCATCGTGCTCTTTTTCTCACAGATGATGCCCAATGACTTTACTGTGTAGTCGACAAAATCAAAAACAATGTGCATAATTGAAAATATAAAATGGAGATAAATTTACCCATTGCACCATGTATATAGTACAGAAAGTATCTGACCATTTTAATAGCACACAAGTTAATAAATGATTTGTTAATATTTATTTTTACTTTAAAATTGAACATATAAAATGACTTGTGGTATATATGGTGCGATGGATAAATTGTTGTACCGAAAATGAAAATAACACTGACATGTCATTTTACACAAAAATGTCTTGAAATACTAAAGAGTAAATTTATTCAATGAAATCACTATTGTCTTCAACCACGGCCTTCAGATGACTTTGGAATCTCCTGCAACTCTTCTGGATGGTCTCCTTGTTTAAGTTGGTGAATGCTGCCATAATCCTTGTCTTCAGTTCAGCTTTGGTCTTGCAAGGAGTTTTATTGGTCTCTTGCTCAACTGTGTCCCACATAATAATCAAGGAGTTTGCAGTCTGGGGAGTTAGAAATTGTCTGACACCCATGACAAGGTTCTCCTGCTTGTGTGGCATGGTGCACAGTCCTATTGCCAGATATAGGGTCTTCCAGCAGCCAACCTCTTGACCCAGGGAAGCACTACCTCTTCAAGGAACTTGATTTAGGCCTCCATATTGAGTCTGAGACCCTCGCCAACAAATTCGGGAGTTCTGATCTGAATGATCAGAGTGAGTTTTCTGTGCTGCTGTACCTTCATAATTTCTATTAGACTCATCGAATTCTTTCCGAATCCTCTGAACTGTCCTCAGATTGGCACCCAAACACTTTGAAATATTCATATTGGAGCTTCTGGTGCAAATGCCAAGCAGTACAGCATGCCATTTCCAAATTTCTGGCACAGTGAATTGTGTCATGGTGCTCTTTTTCTCACAGACAATGTCCAATGACTTTACTGTGTAGTTGACAAAATCAAAAACAATGTGCATAATTAAAAATATAAAATGGCGACAAATTTACCCATTGCACCCTGTATACAGTACAGAAAGTATCCAACCATTTAATATTATAAAAAAAAGTCTGTCTAGGTTAATGGTGTCTTAGTTGTCTCCAAAGTAACACCCCTTGGGATGTTATACACTTATTCTAATTATTTCAATGTATCAGTAGTCTAATAGATAGCAGATCAGTATGAGAAATCAGAGAGCTGACTTCAAATTCCACCTGAGTTTGTTACATTCACTTATGTATAAATACCCTTTGGACATGTATGAATCGATCTACTTCCCCCAGCTATGGGTTAAATAGTGGGGTTTGTATCTGGAAAATCATTGTTACCTTAAAAAAATTTTTTAATGGAATATTCAATCACAAAAAGAAAGAATTATTCTTACAATTCAAAAAATATGTTTTGGATTTAAATAACCCACAAAAGGTTGATAAGTCATAAAAAACAAATTCCTCAACTTTCTACTTTTCAAACTGTCTGTACAGTACTCCTTTTGGGATCAACATCAGCTGCCTCATTGTATTCTCTTTAATCCTTAATCTCATTGAAATATCATAGACCAACTGTAGTACGGAGATATTTCTGCATGCATTTTATAGACTTTATTAAGCAAACATTCATTTGGAGGTATTAATGCAAGAAATTTATCTTTTTGTTATGTGATTTTACATGTAAAACTTTTTAGCAATTTTATAAAAGAAAGAAGTGAATTTCTTTCTTTTTTTTAATTTTTGCTCTAAAAATCCCCAACTGCCTGTACAAATAAATTTTAACTTAAAATTTTGGACAAAGTATTTCAAATGTTAACAAGTGTCACTGAATTTATTTGATTATTTTATTTATTTTTTTTATTTTTTTTAGCCCATAATCCGGAAAAAGACTGACTTGGAAATGGTATATGGAATATCTTTTTTCTATCTTTTACTTTTTAAAAACAAAATTAGTCTTTTGTTTTTTGTTTTTTTATTTATTTACAATTTAGCTGAAAGAAAAAAAGAAAAAAATTCTTTTTAGATGAGATTTTTTTTTTCATCATTTCACCCCAAATGAGTGTTTAGGAATATGAGGAAAAAAAAAACATTATTAATGAGAGAAAACTATAAAAGAACAAAAATTAAGAAGACAGAAAACGACGATTGATATTGCATTTAAATTTTTGAAGATCAAAGTTGACTGGAAAGCGAGAAGAGACTTCCACAAGCAAGAAATTCAAGAGAAGAAACTGTTAACATAGAACTTATGGTTACATTTAGCCATTTCAACTGTAAAATGATGAGACCTACTTGCCAATCTAGTAATGCACTTAAATTCATAAAGTCTAGATATCATAGAGGAAAGTAATATTTATTTTGATATAATATAAAAATGTGCCACAAGGACAAAAGGGGGGATAGGGGAAGGCTGGTCTTCAATCTCTCTTGGCTAGACACGATTACTGACCCAAACATACCATAGTATTCCTTACATCATACAACACATTCTTACTTACCATTCTTATCACAGTCGCTATAATACCTCAATGTCTCTATGCAGTTCTATCTATTCCCGATATGTACAATTTTTCTATTGGGAGTGGGGAATAAAAATAACAACATTTAAAAATGAAGCTCCAATGAATATTTACAATGAATACAATTTATATACAAGAAACTAAACAAAATAGTGTTAAAAAAAAAGCCCCCCCAAAAAACCCATAATCCATGATTGTGGTAGAAAAATCGTTAACTGGATGAAATTAATGCGGGACAAGATAATTAATAACTCATTTGATTAAACACTCGCTCAAACACACTCATCCAGGCACAAAAACAAATACGAAATACACACTTGAAAAATGAAAAGTATCTACAAGAGAACTGACATCACTGTCACCTAACAGGGGAGGAGAAATTAAACTGAAGAAACTGGGAACAAAAATAAAAGAGGCCATTGAGAAAAGTTCATCAGGACAATTACCATGAAATTATTTATAGAGAAGGCACAGGGAAGCTATATTGGGAAAATGACATGTTCCATAAATTATTTCTCTAAAAACATATTCCTTGAAATTTATTAGTTTTCATTTAAATCCAAGTTATAAAGAAAAAGGATTCCTTTTTTATGATCAATAAGTATAAGCTTTAACTATTAAATTTAATAAAATTTAGCAATCAAAAATATTAAGGTTTAACATATGAATTTAATAGAAATTCACTTGAGATTTTTACCAGTTGTATGTCTGTTAAGTAGTAATTAAAAAAAGTTACCATGGAATGCTCTGTACATATTTAAGCTCCCTTGACGAATAGGCTTGTTAATTATCTAATATATATATATATAGTGAGAGAGAGAGTCTGAATTCTGAAGTGACAAACTTTTACTTATATTAATTCTATTTTCTACATACAACGTGTGAAAGCATGTGTGATACCCTGCCCTCATCAGCTACCTCGCAGGGGAGGTAACACAGTTTTGCTGGCTAAGGCAGTACTGCTACTACCAGACAGGCTATTGTTTTTGTATATGTGTCAGTCTCTTAATATATTAATTCTATATATATGTTAATTTGACATATTTTAGTTCAAATCATGCCAGGGAATGCATTTTTCTTTCATGAGATTTCTCAAATATTCAGGCTGGTAGACAAAAATAAAATACTATTTTAAAAATAAACACAGTATTCACTAAAAATAATATTTAAATGATATATATTGTTGAAAAGTAGTACAAACCTGTCATGATAACCAAATGTTGAAACCATCTGACATTGAATATAAAGGCTCTAAAAATACATTTTTGGGACTGTGGTATAATGGATATTTGTGTTGGTTAAATGTGTTACTATCATCTAGTGATTGTGAGTTCAATCCCTGGATCAGGTAGTGAACAGCAGGCACAAATAATAACTGGCATCGCAGGGGCAAAATAATCCAATAATCGACAGATAATCCATATCAGCCAAAACAATAGACATCTGAAGATGGCCAGATGATGCTTGGGTGAAACGTGTCTATAATAAATACTATTATTTGAGAAAAATAGTTCAAAATAATTCAAAGTATATTGACAATTATTCATCTCACAAATGAAATACAAAAGTGATTAGCATTTCTTAAAATGTTGAGAATAATTTCTTTTTCCCTCTGCTGCAGGCATTCATTTTTAGTTTGCCATGAGTTTTGTTATCAGATTAATAAAAAAAAAAAATTGTTATATTTGGATTTTTTTTAAGCGTTTCACCCCAAGCAAGGCGGGAAGCCACTAGGATGCAAGGGGTTACAGAAAATTTAGAACAGGATCAGATAGGAGTGATAGAGGAAAGGATGAGGAGAAGGGTAGTGGATAGATCAAGGCAACTGGAGATGTCGATTGACATTACATTTGAATAGCTGGAGATTATAGCTCTCAGGGAAACTAGAATAGGGAAGAGAGTTCCACAGGCGAGAGGTGTGAGACATGAAGCTATTGGAGTAGAATAGACGGCTACATTTAGGAGTTTCGACAGTGAAGGGGTGAGAGTGAGATGCCAGCCTGGTCGGGCGCTTGAACTCATGAAGTCTGGGAACCAGCGAATGCAGCTCCTTGGAGCAATTGCCATGAAAGTATTTGTAAAACAGACAGAGAGAGGCGACGGCGCGTCTGTGAGAAAGTGTCTGTAGACGAGATGCCAGATCAGAGCCAATTATATTGTATATCTGCCTCTGGAGCCTATCAAGAACCCTGAGGCAAACAGAAGGTGCTCCAGACCATATATGGCAGCAATACTCGATGCAAGGGCGAATTGTTGATTTGTAGATCTGGAGGATTGATTCTGGGGAGAAAAATTTCCTGGCGCTGCACAGGGAGCCAACTTTCCTTGCTGTGGACGAAGCAATTGTTACCTTCCTCCAGCTGTTGTGCAGCAAAGGTTCACAGTTTACCTCCACATGGATTGATCTTGGTCAAGTTGCAGAGTTTGGAACCAGTTGGGGGGTTTCTTTTTCTCAGTTCTTCTTTAACTGTAGTTTGCCATGTCATTTTTGGATAACTCCTTAGTGGTCTTTTGCAGCTTTGAGGTATCCAGTTTAGAGCAATTTTGACTGAATGACCCTGAGATAATCATATGATATATGGCTGGTGAATTGTATCCACCTATCTTCCACCATTACACTAAGGTTTTTAGAATTTGTATATCTTATCACTTGCTCATTCCTGATTCTATCTCTCTAAGATACTTTTAGGATTTTGTGAAGACATCTAAGAGTTGTATAACTTTTTAGTCAATTTCCAAATTTCACATGCATATTAAGGCAGTTGAGAGAACAATTTCTTCTTTTTATTTCCCGTGTCCCTTCAGGTTGTAGTTGAACATGGCCTTCCACATCTTCCTGTCCCTTATAGCTCTTAATAAGTTTTGTCTTTTTTTGTTATTTTTCCAAAACTCTGTTCTACCATCCATTTACTCCAGCACATCAAGTATGTTACACACTGCTTTCCTCTGTCCCTAATTCCCTTAATATGTTCTGTGAGTGTAACAAAGAGTTGGTGAGAGAAGGTGTCATTTGCCCACCATGAAAAGAATTCATGTGGCAACATGCATTGTTTGTAGCCATAAGCAGAATTGATTTCAGTGCGATTCAAACCTGAGCCTCACATTAACCAGTTATGGTTGATTTATCAAAGTAGAATGAATGCACAATAGACAAACTGTTATATCTCGTGCAAGATATAATAAACAAAGTAAACCCGAGTGTTGGTTTTTCAATAATAATTTTATAATCGGATGTAGGTATGTCAAAATACAGAGACAGAGTCAGGAGTAAGCTAACCTCAATAGGTGTTAACAAACGAAGACCTTTTCTTCACTGTCCGTGGTGGTCGTACTTAATCGGCAACCAGTCCGTCCATTATCGTGAATGGGGAAGTTGGGTTATCTCATCACAACACCTCCCCCCGAAGCTGAAATTCTCCCTTTTGAAAATTTCTGCTTCTAATGTAAATCTTCTTTTGGATCCAGACTAAAACGCTCCACTGGTTTTCTTTCCCGTGTGCTCCTTCTTTTAGTTGTCACAATTAGATCCTTTTTTGGCCAAGATAATTTCCGCTTTTCAGCCTGTAAGGCTGGTCCATGCGATACAGGTTCAAATGCACTATTGGGTAGTGTCATGTTAGAAAGCATCGCATAACACTTCCATCGGAATTTCTTCTTCGCTTTTTTCACTTTCTTCACCATATCGTGGTCTAATCTGATTGATGTGTCTTTTACACGTAAATTTTTTACTTTTAATCGTGTAGACCACTTTACCAATCCTTTTCTGGATTATGCCATCCATCCAATAGCTTTTTCCACTTTTAAAATTTTTGAAAAAAACTTTGTCTCCTGAAGTGTATTTTTTTATGTTGACTTTTAGCAACTTTTTTGTTTTGATAGGGTAACAATCTATCGAAAATTGATCTAATTTTCCTTGTGAACATAATTTCCGCCGGTGACATTTTCGCATCGTTGTTCTCATTAGAGGTTACCCTGGGATGACACACTGGTGTAGTTATGTGTTCAATGTCTAAGGCAGTACAGAAATCCTTAAACTCCATACTTGTGAACGCCGTACCATTGTCGCTCACCAATGTCCTGGGAATCCCAAAACGACTGAAAATTTCATTCAATGCACTGATGGTGTTCCTAGATGTAGGATGCTTGCACTTGACTACCTCAGGCCATTTCGATAAAGAGTCCACCAATATCAAATAATAGTGCCCATTAATTGGTCCAGCATAGTCTATATGTAGACGTGCCCACGGCAAATCCGTTTTCGGCCACGGATTCATTTTGACTGGAGGTGCCCTTGCAGCCAATTGACAACCTCTACATAGTCTTACAAAACCTTCAATATCCTTGTCCATTCCTGGCCAGTATACGTAACCACGCATGAGTGATT